CTTTGAAAAAGCCCTAACCTATGAGCCTTCTATGAGACTGATTTGCATGTCTCCCACGTGGCATGGCCAGTCTTGTGTCAAATAAACTCTGCATTTACTGCAATGCCATGGGAGGTGATATGATTTGGCTGTGTCTCCACCCAAATATCATCTTGAATATTTCCCATGTGTGAATAGCTCCCATAATTCCCATGTGTCATGGGAGGGACGTGGTGGGAGGTAATTGAATCATGGCGGTGGGTCTTTCCCATGCTGGGCTCATGATAGTGAATAAGTCTCAAGAGGTCTGATGGTTTTGTAAACGGGAGCTCCCCAGCACGTGCTGTCTTGCCTGCTGCCATGTAAGATGTGACTTAGCTTCTTCTTCACCTTCTGCCATATTGTGAGGACTCCCCAGCCATGTGGAACTGTGAGTCAATTAAATCTCTTTCCTTTATAAATTACCAAGTCTCAGGTATGTCTTTATTAGCAGCAACAGAATGGATTAACTCAGGAAAATGGGCATGTTTGAAAATGAGCGTGTAACTCAGGAGGTTACATGTTTGTTAGTTCCCTGTCCTGATGAGTCCCTGAGTTTTCTATGTTTAGCCTAGAGGGTTCCTGAGGAACAAGTGAAAGAAAACCACATTCCTTCTCATTTTCTGGAGGGATTCCTGGCAGAAAACACTGCCTGGTGACTCTCCATCAGCTTCCCCTCCCTTCCCCAGTAGTTGATCCTGTCCAGCACCTGCTGTCACCAAAGTCCTTCTTCCAAGCAGCTGAAGGCAAGGGAGGCCAGAGGGGGCAGCCCAATGCCACAGAATCCAACCCTTGGAACCCACAAGTTATACCCATTATTTTGACAATGTAATTTTGGAGACATGCTCCCAGCCCACTTCTCCTTAAAGTTTGAAGCTACTTGTGTGCATGATGGTTTTGTGCAAAGGTCCAGGTGGGCCCAATGTTATCAACATTATCATAACCACAGCTGCCACAAATCCTGGGGCAAAAGCAGAGATGGCATCAGTGGCTGCAAATCAGACCTCCTCCACCTCCCACTATGGGAGGGACATCAGGGTATGAAACCCCTCTGTGCCTCAGTCTCCCCTTAGTAAATGCCCAGAAATTGGGTTGTGAAGATTAAACACATGCAAAAAAGCTCCTAGCATAGTGCCTGGCACACAGTTAGGGTTCAGTAAACACTGGCTACTCAGCCACTACTGCCAAGACTATTCTCATTTAGCCCAGATCACAGAACCTGTGATCTGTGGAGCATGGCAGAGGTGGATCCTCCAATCTTGGCTTCCACCCTCCCTCCACTCACTCAGTGAACCATGTTTGCCTTTGCTTTTGCTCTTTGTGCCACGCCCACGAGTCCAGGTTCTAATGGCTCAAGGCTTTGCAGGGCTGAGAAACATTTGCCTACAGAATCCAGCCATGCCTCTTACTGAGAGCCTTCTCCATGCTCCCAAAAGGCCAGTCTCCTGGCACACAGGGAAGAACAGAACAAACATGCTCATTTTCTGTTGCTGCCTTGGGGGCTTCCTTCTGAGAACCGGTTTTCTTCTGACACCACAGACAATGAACAACCTGAGGCCACGGGCCATGGGCAGATTGCCATATAGGAGGTTCAGGGGACCTTACCCATCCTGAGATGTGTCAGTGGCTCCCACAGTGGAGGGACAGGGCCCCTGTGTTCTCACTGCTCAGAGGCTTACCCAGGAGACAGGGCCCTGGAAGGATCTGGACTTCCTGGATGGGAGATCTGAAGGGCCCCATGTAGGCCATGTCCCAGGCTCCCATGCCAAGGCAAGGTAGGCCTGAGTGGCCCTCAGCACCACCTAGGCAGTGCACAGCCCTGACCTCCAGGCTCTCCTCCCAGCCCTTCTCCTACCCTGCTCCCAAGCCCTCCTTGACCCCAGCCTGAGAGCCCATTCTACTTCCCTACCATGATGGTTTGTAGAAACCCAGTTCCTCTCTGGTTCTCAGCTGGATGTGGCACCATAAGAGCGACAGGGTGCGGTCTTTTGCTCACCACTGCATCCTCAGCACACAGCCCTGTGCCTGGCACCTGGCAGGTACATAACTATCGTTTTTCAGCCAAATGAACAGAGATGGCAATCATATCTGCCTCATGCTGTCATGGTGGATATTAAAGAAGGTGATGAGTGGACAATACCTCAGGTGGCATCTGGCACACAGTGAGCATGTCACACTGGCAGCTGGTAATGGTGGCTGCTCAGCTCCCTAACACCAGCAAGAGCTGCGCACGCTGCTTGGAGGCCATGCTTGGGTCCAGCCACTCCCCTGGCTGCCTCTCATTCTTCCTCCAGTCTCCAAATGCTTCTAGTCTGGCCTCAGGACCTCTATCACTCAGGGCCTGGCATGACACCATTCTAGCATGCTGTACAGGGCAAGCCGGGGGTGAAGGTGGGCAGGACAGAGGATAGAACAAGACGCTGTCAAGAAACCACACCAATTAATTTGACTTCAAATGTCCCAGGTCTTCATAAGGGAACTATTTCCTGGGAAACACCTCCCTTGGTGTCCTGGCTGGCTGAGAGCCTCCAACAGATACTTCCAACCAGATACATGCAAACCTACTTCCATTTCTTCCCCTTCCAGGGACAAGGCGTCAGGTGGTAAAGGAGGTGGGGCTGCTCCCAGCAGCCAAGGAGCCTCATTGCTGAGCCTCTTCCAACAACTGAACCCCAAACAATTTTAAGATGTATGAAGGTTTCCTTTCCCCCTGAGACTAAAGCAAGCTTTTCTGAAGTAGTCAGGATAGAGCAAACAGCCAGCACAGGGGCCCAGATGCCTGGGTTTTCGGCCTGCTCACAGCCACCTTTATTCCTCTACATCTTTGCTTAGGCCTCTGGGCTGGGACAGATCAGCAAAGTTCAAACACTCCTCAGAGGTGTCACCTTTGGATCAAATTAAATTATACCAAGACACGACTCGACATGCGGAAGGTGAAGGTGGAGATCTCCTGCCCCGTGTCTCCCTGATGGCCCCATTTGTTTTCCTGCATCTCCCATGTGTTGTAGTAACCATGGGCCTTGGGGCATGTGACACACAGCCGTGGGGCAGCCAAGCCTCAGCCCCTCCATGCACCCCAGCAAGGAGCAGCAGCACCATTCTTGCCGCATGTGCAGACCCTGTCCTGGGCAGCTCTAGGGCTGGGGCAGGGGGTGCTAGGCTGGGATGCTCCTGAGTGAACTGCTGGGGCTCTGGCTGTGATACAGGCTGAACCCCAGCCTCCTTGGGCAGAGGGGTCACACAGGGGCTACTCAGAAGGCTGCCAGGGAGAGGGTCTTATCCAGAAGGGCCAAGAATCAAGCTGGAGACTGTCAGCCCCGTCAGATATCTGAGGTGACAGGAAAGGACTCTGGGTCCAGCCCTTCCATTACACAGAAAAGGAGCGTGAGGCTCAGGAAGGAGCAGTACCTAACCTGTTGAGACACTGAACTGAGTAGAGCTGAGAATCAAAGTACCTCAAGGTACTGAAAAAGTCTCCTACCACCCCAAGCCTGTCCTTCTTCCAGAGCCAGCACTATCTCTGCTCTGCACAGCACGTGCCTTTCTGCTCTTTCCACCCTCCTTTGGCAAAACCACTACCAGGAAAGATGCAGAAAACTCTTTCCCAGAGAGGAGGAATGGGAGATGAGGCTCATGGTGCAGAGATGGCTACATCACACACCAAGAAGTGAAGCTCTAACGGGAAAGGCAAGGGCTGAAGGGCAGGCAAAGGCCGGGTAAAGCCAGGAGAGGGGTCCTCAGGAGCAAGGCCTCACCTGCTGCACTTCCTGGCGTGTGGGACATGTGAGGGCCACGTGAGGTCGAGACTTTGAGCTTTTGGATGAGTCCCAACTCAGCTGGGGCTACCTTCATGGGGATGAGACCAGTGTGTTCACAGAGGCACCATGTTTAGCTTAATGCTTTGCTGTTGCCATTGTAAAATACGGCATAATTTTTGAATAATGGGCTCTAGCATTTTGCACTGGGTACTGCAAATCACAGAACTGGCTCTCACTCACCAGTTGCTAGTCGTGTATTCTTGAGTAAGTATCTTAACCTCTGGGAGGCTGTTTTCTCATCTGTAAAATGAAGATAACAGCACCTGCCTCACAGAATTGTTACAAGATGAATTGTGAG